GCTTGGTTTTTCATCATTTCCATTTTTTTCATGACTGAGTTCTTCTTCTCCAGAATACGGAGCAAAATCATCACACATAATATTTGTTTTTGTTTCCTCCAGTCGGTTTGCAGTCCAGTCTTCGCTGTACATTCCTTCTAATGTAAATTTGTTCTCCAGGAAAACAACGTCCCTTCCAAATACAATTTTTCCAAGCTCAGGGCACCAAAGGCGATATCCATTTGAACAATATCCAGTTAAGTAACATTTCAATGACCTTGAGTCAAGTTTACCTTCGGTCAACTCTTTAGGTTTGTGCAAGTAAGCAACACAACCAAAAACTCGCAGTTTTTTTAGGTTTGGAGTTCTACCATACCACAAAGCTGCAGGAACATTTCCGTTAAGTGCGACTGTCGAACTGCGATTAATCAGATAAACTGAAGTTCCAACTGCCTCGCTCCAAAATTCCTTTCCCAGACTGCATTCTAGTAGAAGACATCGAGCTGTTTCCATGATTGTGCGATTCATGCGTTCTGCAACACCATTTTGTTCCGGAGTATACCTAATAGTTAATTCGTACGTAATTCCATTTTCCTCAAAAAATGTTTTTAGTTGATTTGAACAGAATTCTCCTCCATTATCGCACCTGAAACGACTAATTTTTTCGCTAAACTTGCTTTTTACCATTCAGCATACAATTTTATGTATCGAAAGACGTCTGATTTGCTTTTCATTGTATAACAAGCTGTAAAATGAGTATAATCATCAATTATGGTCAGCACATAATTCATTCCATCGTAAGATTCAGGTGAGATCGGTCCCATGACGTCACTATGTATCAATTCAAGGGGTCTTGTTGCTCTAATACGTGATTTATCGTGAGGCTGTTTTGTTTGTTTTCCTTCAATACAATTTCCACATTTTTCGCTAGGCGCTTGAGTTTCCTTAAATTTCATTCCTTCAACTTTCGGTTTCAGCTTCAAAACGTTGTCGTAGCTCATATGCCCCATTCTCTTATGCCACAATCCAATAGTTTCCGATAAGAAGCCCATTGTGTTTTCTGGTAAATTAAAAGTCAACACATAAAGTTTTGTATCATCACTCCTTGCAATCGATATTATTTTACCATCTTTAAAGATTCGCCCTTCATTATTTTCAAAAATTATTTTCAACCCATTTATCTCAAGTTTTCTCACTGACAGCAAATTATGCTCTAATCCAGTGACTGAAAGTATATTTCTGATTTTAATTTGAATTTTCTTACCATTTACAAAATTATATACGGTCAAATCTCCGACCTTTTCAGCTTGCATAAAGGCTCCCGATTTAGCAACCTTAATCTTGATGGGTTTTTCCAAAACTCTCATATTTTCAAGTTGTACAGAAGAATTTGCTAGATGCTCGGTCGCTCCAGAATCTAAAAACCACTTCAACGCTTGAGAGTCCTCCCGTGTCGATGCCGAGAAACAAAATTCACAATCTTCGTCCTTTGTTACTTGCTCTTCCTTTTCAGTTGTGACATTGGCCAAATAATTCATTTTTCCGGTTAATGGAAGTCTTGTCCGACATTGTGCCCTATAATGCCCAGGTTTTCCACATCTATAGCATGTAATATTTCCTTGAACATAGTTTTTATACTCCCTCTTACCACCATTGTATTTTGATGAGTCTGGTTGCGTATGAAAAACTTTTGACGATTCCGAATCACAGCTTTTTCGTTCTGTTCCAGCCTTTCGCTTATTTTCCTCGTCGAGCAGTCGATTTTTCACAAATTCCACAGTTAAACTGTCTTGGGGAAGGGTTTCCAACGCAGTCACAAGAATATCGTATTCCTGAGGCATGGACAGCAAAAGATGACAAACCACGTCATTCTCTTCCAACTTTGCTCCTGTGCTTTTTAGCTCGCGCACTAACTTGTCAAATACTAGGAAATGATCCGACATCGATTCAAACTTTGGGTTAAATTTCAATGTTAACAATTTCTTTCGCAAAAATAGCTGTCCAGCAATTCCCTTCCTTTCAAAAACCTTGGACAATGCATTCCACAATTCAAACGCATTTTCTTTGTCCTTGACGTATTCAAGTTGACTGTCCGAAATTCTTTGAATGATTTGAGATGTGCATTTTTTGTCACCTTTCCTATGATCTTTTATTCGTCGCTCCTTTTCTGCCTTTTCGGCTGCAGTTTCCTTGTCTGTCAATTCAATTATACTGAACCAAGGTTTTTGAATGTATTCCAACAGATCGAGCTCGTCCAAGAGTGTTTCGACTCTAAATTTCCAATTATTAAAATTACTTCCATCAAACAACGGGATTCGATATTTTTCAAATTCCAAAGACATATTATCACTTCCAGTGCTCTGGGCCCATAACCTATCAGCAGAGCTTGTTTTCCTTGTTTTAAATGAGAACTCAAGGATTTATTTAACTTTAGAAAAACTTTATTACTTGACAGACATATAATATATTTTTCATTACTGTCAAACATACATTATTGAAAACAACACTTAGTAACGATTGTTAACTATATAACATAAGATAAATGTCTACTAAATTGTTATTTTCAACAGTGGTAGCCATATAACAGGCAAATCCGTACACAATCAACGAATTGAGAGGCTTTGGGTGGATGTGGGTAAGGAAGTGGTTGATAAAGTGTATGAAGAACTTTATAAATTGGAAGACAGTTATCAACTTTTGGTAGATAACAATAAACACCGCTACTTGGTGCAACTTGTCTATTTGGATTACATTAATAGATTATTGGAATCATTTATGAATGGATGGAATAATCATAAACTACGATCAGAAAACAGAAGATCACCAAAGCAAATCTGGATCGATGGACATTTAAATAATATTAACAGTGATCATACCGCGGTTTTGGAAATATTTGAAGAACAGGCCGATCTACTTTATAGGACACAGGAAGCATTACGTAACGTCAGCGTTAACGTTGACCAGTTAAACTTAAATGTACCAACAGATCGCTCGCTTTTTGAAGCACCAAACGAAATGACTGAGGACCAAAATGAAATGATTAAAAATATTATGAAAGATAATATAAGCTGTAAAGAAAAATTGATTGCTGGTTTAGAAATTTTAAAACAATAAAATTATTAAGTTTATTTTTTATATCTTTTATTTATAAAATAATGTTAAAAACTTACATTCTCACTCACACCTACAAAACTTTATATTCTGACACTTTATGTAACGAAATTTTGACTATCAGCTTCCCTAATCTAAGACTACAAAGTGGTTATGACTTCGTTTTTTATTAGAATGCAATATTAAAAAATAAAATACCTACTTCTACATATTTATAGCCTTATTTTAAACTTAAATTCTTCAATTTAAAAATATTCTAAAACAAAACAGTCATACCTATTTAAAAATAAACTTTTAAAATGCTTAAAAAAACAACAGTTTTGTATTAAAAGAAAGTAACATAACTAGGGATTGCAATCCGGAAAACGGGATCCGGTAATTATATACTTTTATTTTTTTTTACTTGTTTGGCCCTGCAACAAAGGTATCGTCCCCAAATTCACAAACTGGCGAATATGAAAAAATGTGTGGCTTATAATGTGATTAAATAATATCTAAAGCCCTCTACAACCTCTTAAAATGGCGAATATGTATGTCTAATCGAGAGGCCATAGAGGGCTTTAGGTACTATTTAATAACATTATTTAATTTTATATTCGCCAGTTCGTGAATTTGGGGACGGTATGTTTATTAATTATTTATATTTAAAACAACGTATAAAGTGGATTTGCATCTAGAATACCAAAATATTTTGATTGGAAGACCAAAATATTGCAGATATAAGGTAGTGTAAAAATAAATAAAATCTCATAAAATGACTGAATGTCATTAGCTATCACATCCACTTATTGCATTTAACATAATCACAATATTTTTTTATATAATCTGCAGATGCAAATCGACTTCAAATAATGTTTAAGTATAAATAATTACACATAACATACCGTTATTGCCAGGCTGAACCAAGTAAAAGTGTTTTTAAATACATAATTTCCGGATCCACTTTTTTCATCCCTAAACATAACAAAAAAAATTCTTTAGTAAGTGTCAAATGTAAAACTGAGATCTGAGTTAAAGTAGGTATTCATCTCATTGTTAAACTCACTTTGATTTTCATAACCAAGGCTAAGTTTTAACAAATTGGAGCACGTTGATGCTACGGGTCTTCTCGCAATTCCGATTCCTTCATGAAAATTGACAGAAATGCTGTCTGGCATTTGAATCCCACCTGTTACAAATAATAAGAACTGTTCAACCATATCTGTACTCAAACTTAGTACATAATTTTGCAAAAAATAAAACACTTTGTCTTGTTCATCAGTGGGATAACCCTTTCAATACGACTTTTCGGAAATTAATTTAAAACTTTTTTTTTAGTGTTAAAACTATATTTAGGTTAAAAATAGTTAATTGACTGAATGACAGATTTTTAACTTTGGTGGTATTTGAAAAAAAGGCCTGGCACAGATTTATCCCTGCAGTAATATGCCCTGGGATATATTTATCCCCACACTAAAGAAATTCTACTATTTTTGAAAATGTTTATTATCAAAAAACACTGATGGGATAAAACTATCCCCTGTCATATTACTGCAGGGATATTTTTGTCCCAACGTATATTTTGAGGAATGAGTTGTGACGTACAATGCACATAAAGTATCACAAAAATTCGAGCAAAATTTACACAATAACTACACAAAATAGGTTATGTGACTGGTCTTTTTCAATTTCGAGCGTGCAATGGCCAAAAAACAGCTGGTTATTGTTCACGTGACGTTAAATAAATTAAGTTTTTATTACTGATATCCCAAGTCAATACATAGAAATACTAAATTGTCTCGACCCTGTTTTATTTAAACGCACTTTATTAAGTAGAGAAATTTTTTAATTTTCTTTGGGACGTATATATCCCCGCAGTATTGAAAGGGATAAGGAACTTGTAGCTGTAAAATATTTGCCACCTTTGTGGCTGTTGGCTGCAAACTTTTCCATATATTAACGGCATAATCGACAGGAATATTGGTCAAATATTCTACAATATCTTTTGGCAACCCTTCCTTTATTTTTTGATATAAGTCGATTGTGTTTTTAATTATAGTTTTTTTTGCGACAAGTAGGACATGCTTCCTTACATTTTCTTGAGTGGGTAAAACATTAGAAAGGCCGTATGTCGTGTAAAGACTTATCAGTCGATTCCTTTCATTGTTGGTTAACTTCTCAAAATCCTTTAAAGCTTTTTGGACCAGCTTTCTTTCAGGCATGCTTAAAAATAATAAAAAGTCTTACAGTAATAGTTGTTCTTGATCTGTGTAATCGTCGGGTTTGTTGGACAAAGCATGTAACGTATAAAGGGCAAGTCTAGGTGGCATTTTATTGGTAAGCATTATCATGTGCCCTAATATTCGCCCTATTGTTGCCAATTTTGGCATTATTTCCATCTCTTTTTCTAATTTTATGTATGGTATTAGTACATCATTGCCAATAAAAAAATCACCACTTTCAAATAGTGCTCGCCAAAATATTGTAAACATTTCTGATAATAATCCTCCGCCATCTATACCTTCCTCATCAATAAATTTTATCAATAATCTACTGCTTGTTAATGAGTTGTCATTGTAAAGTTCAAACATCTTTCCTAATATATCTTGTCGCGATATTTCAATAAATTTTACTTCCGCTTCTTCTGGTATAAATGGGAAACTAAGGTATGGTTCCAATTGTTCATCTACGTTATATGTATTGTCAATATGTTCTAAAAAGTAAATATTTCAATATATATGTATTAAAATGGCGTTTAAACTTTCAATTAATTTGTGCAAACTGGCTTGTACAAAATTTGTGCTAATCTATAACTATTATAATTGACGATGTCTGTTTACATTTAACGATTTAAGTGCATAAAGTTGGTGCAAGCCAATTTGCACAAATTGTAAACGTGTAAACTACTACAAAAATTAGGAATCGACGATTAGAATAAACTCTTCTGAAGAGTGCTTATTACATCGAGTCTAAGCAGGGCCGGAGCTACCTTTATTAAAAGTTGACTTTTACATAATATTCTTGTAGGGAATTGAATTCTCTACAAAAAATCTTTTATGTAATCTTTTCTCAGAAATTAAAATAATTAATTTGATAGATTGGTTTTTAAAAACAATCTTTATTAATTATACGAGGTTTACAATCGAGAAGCAAGATACAGAATGAATTAAACTAAACTAAAATGTAATAATCATGAACATTAGAGATAAGAGATAATTCAAAGAAATGAAATATAATCTTCGTACACCTTGTACATGGTCATCAAATACGTGCATATAACTCCTCCATCCTTAAGATGAAAGCAATACGGGCGGATTGGTTTCGTTGGAATTTTCTTTTTTCTTGTTTGCAATTTTTCTTAATCTATATTTTATAATTGTCCATAATACAATTGAAATTATTATGAAGGTAATAAATGTATTGAACAAACTCCATACTATGGGATGAACTTCGGTTTTTCTTAATAAATGGATGGATTTGGCTTCCTTTTGTAGATTTTGTATTTCTTTAAGGTCAATAGAATGTAGCCTAATCGGATTGTCTTCTAAATTTTGACTGGTCTCCCAGTTTTGTATTTCTGGTAATATAATGGGTTTGACATCTAGGATTTCTTGTTTATTCCAAAATTGTGATTGATTGATTTGGATTCCACAGTTAGATGGGATATCAATTAAAGTTGGATTATTAATAAATAAATAATCGTTTGAATAGCATTTCTTTTTTATTTTCATTGGAGTACTTGTGGGAATTAATAGTATAAATTGATTTGTTATGACTTCTATGATTGGTCTGGACATTTCGATTTTTGAGTATTGACAGTTTCGAATTTCGGCTTCTTTGACAAGATTGACGATGCATGTGTTGGTGGACGGCTGCAGAAGATTTTTACAAACTTGTAGATTATTGATTTTTGGACACGGTTCATCGAGATATTGGTGTTGATTTTCGCCAAGTATTATGTAGGGATGGTTTGGAATAATTATTGTATTGTTTATTGGGACAGGAAGGATATGAAAACTCTCAAAGGTCTCTTCGTAAAATATAGGAAAGTGAATTGTAAAAATAATTTTATTGTTTGTGAAGGTAACTTGAGTAGCTGCTAGCTGATAATAAAGGTTAACGTTACTAGATATGTGAATTTTATTCTTACCATAGATTTTCGTTAAATGATTTATAATTAAATTTAATTCATTTATTGATAAAATAGAACTGTGCAACATATTTATATTGGCAAAAGTTACTGCGTTTTCTAGATTGTCCAAAAGATTTATTAAATTTTGGCAATTTAGAATAATTTGATCTATTGTATTTTGCGATCTTAAATAAGCTGAAATATCATTAATAGTTTTATTTATGCTGAATTCGAAAGCAAATAGTCTGCTTTTAATTATTTTTTGGTTTTCGTTAAGTAAAGTGATAGTTTTGTTATAATTGTTTATCAGATTATTAGTTAGAGATATTCTTAAGGACGTTTCTTTTAAAATAGAATTTTGGTTATTTTGAAGTTCCAAAATTGCATTATTGTATTTAGTTTCATCATCGGAATCTAAAGTGCCGAAGAGCCATTTAGAACTTTTACCTATAATATTTATTAAACCTCGTTTTTCGCGACTATGCGGAACTAAATTATTAAACTTATTACTAGCCTCTAAAATTAAGTATTTCGCATGGTTAAGGGTATTATCAAGCATAATTTTAGGCAAAGAAATTAAAGGGGAGGATTTGTTAAGCGTCTTATCAACTAAATCGTAAAATGATACTATATTGTCTAATTGTTTTTTAATATAATCTAATTCTAAAAAATGAATAAAACTATGCTTATTTTCTATAATGCGGGCATTGCCCAAGGAGAAGGGAAGGATAGGACCTTTAAGATTAGTGGTGCCTATTTTATTTTGTGGCGTTGCTTGTATGGCTTGGAGCATAGCTACAACATTGATCAGCTTCGTTAGCTTCATTTTCCTGTAAAACAGAACAATAGGCTTTAGGTTTTTGAACTTGAGATTTGTGTTTAATTTTGTCATTGGATATTTTAATCTTATCTCCTAGGTCAGTTTTCACTATAGACTTTATAAATCGGGGTTTTGTTTTGGTACGAAGGGCGGTTTTGTCTTTAATAAAAACTTTCGTATCGGGTATATAGGGTTGGGGGTTCTCGCGATTTGTATTATGTCTCTGAATATTTTTCACTTTTGTTTCAAGCGAAGTCTCATAAATTTTTTCATGTATGGCCTTAAGTCTTTCACGTCTGTCAATTAAAAACTGATTAAGTATAATTTCGTCGGTCAGATCGAAGGGGTCTAAGGATTTTGTTCTACCATTGATAACATGGGTTTTGTTTGGTTACACTATGTATCGATGAGTTATAGCCAATTATGGAGTATTGTATTAGTTCCTTAGTTGGTGATTTGGAATTTTTAATTTTTAAGACTCTAAATAGTTCAATTAATGTAGAATGAAAACGTTCTACTGGGCTATTGCTGTTAGAGTTTCCTGCGGTTGTGAAATGTAATTTTACATTGTGGAGTTTGCAAAAGTCTATTAAGATGGATGTTTTGAATTCTGTTCCGTTGTCACATGTAATTGATTGGGGAATTCCAAAATGAGAAACAAAGTTAAGAATGTTTTCAAAAACAGTGTGTGAATAACAAACGGGTTCCAAAACATAAGCTTGTGCGTAGCGTGAAAAAACGTCTATTATTGTTAGGAATTTTGTACCGGCTATCTGAAAAGTGTCCATATGAATAGATTCCAGAGGTTGTGTTGGTGTAGGTGTAAGAGAAAATTTAATTTTTGGTGGATGTCGATCGTATTTAGCTTGTTGGCAGATGTCACAGTTGTTAATAAATTCGGTTAAATTTTTTTTCATGTTGGGCCAATAATAGGTCTGTTTAAGGGCTAAGAGGGCTTCATTTATACCGCGATGACAAGTTTTTTCATGATGGTATTTTATTAATTCTTTTTGTCTATTTTCGTCTTCGATGTCGGTTAGTAAAAATGTTGAAAAGGTTAATCGATATGCGTTATTTTTAAATGTTTTGGCAAGAGTGTTACTTATAATAGGAATTAAGTCTAATTCCGATTTTTGAATAAAAATACAATGTATTTTTGTAGGTTCAATATAATTTTTGAAAAATTTAATAATTTCCTCTTCGTAATTTTTTCCTAAAAATACAGTTATTCGATTTTTTGTTTCGAATAGTTTTTGTTTTATTATATGATAAGTGGCTTGTGCTTTTTGTTGAATAATAATTTGGTTTGAGTAGTGGTTTGTACAATTTTCTGTAATGGGTATGCCTAGGATGGGATTTTCTACTGCTGAATGGACAGTTTCATTATCGCTAAAAGGTGGTCTTATTTGGATATCTGAAATTATGTTAATTTTGGGTTTATCGTAATTTTTTGGATCAAAAATTTGTTCTAATTTGTCTAGATCTTCTAATGTTACTTCTGGTAGGTCATCTGGTAGGTCATTAATTATTTCGTCGATGTCACCGGGATTACCAACTATTGATTCGTTTTCAATAGCGTTAATTTCAACACGGGATAAAGCGTCTGTGGTTTTTATGTCGTGCTTTACTTTATTTTGTTCGTTTCTATGAAATATGTCGGAATATTCGGAGCAAAGGTTTATAAGAGCCGTTTTCTCTTCTGAATTTAAATGGTCATGTCTAATTAAATTTTTGATGTTTTGTAATCTATGATTTTTAACATCTACTTTAAAATCGTCGATTTGAAATATTTCAAAATTTATTTTATGTGAATCTGGAAATGCATAGACTTTAACAGGTTCTTTAAATATTAATTCGATTGGTTCGTCTGAATAGTTGTGAATTTCAGTTTTAGCAAAACCATTTTTTGCTATGCTAAGTGTTTCGGGCCAATATAGGTTTTCAGTTTTATTTTCAGGAATAATAATGTCGCAATTATCTTGTGACACGGGAATATTAACAAGAGCGATTTCTTTGGCATTAATAAGTATTTTAGAGTTTTCTTTACCGAAGTTTCTAAAAATTAAAGGGATATTTATTTTATTGTTAGTAAGCTGTTTATTTGGTAGATCTATGAGAAAATTAAAACGTTGTAATTCTTTTAAACCTAAAATTCCATCAAAGAAGTTATGAAAATTAAATAAAATAAAGGAAATATTTCCGGAGGAACAAAGTTCGGCTAAAACAGGAATATCTGCCTTAAATCTAACGTCTTTCTCTCCAGTACCTGTTTTAATCTTAGTAGGGGAATGATATATTTTTTCTGGATAATATTTTTCAGCAATTAAGGGGTTTATAATTGAATGATAACAACCTGTATCTATAAGAAGTTTCATAGGGGGATTTTTTATTTCAATGTATGGTAAACTATTATTTTTTATCTCAGTATACATTTCTGCTACGTGAGATTGTTGTTCGAGGCAACTATGGAAAAATTTTCATTATTATCTTCACACGTGTAATTCTGAGAATCTTCTTCGTAATAGTAAGGGAAATAATTAGAGGGGTCGTCATTTTGATTATTGGGGTTTTCTATTTCGTGTGTTGATTCGGGTGTTTCAGATAAAGAAGGGGTTTCGTCGTCGATTTGGAAGAGTTCTTCTGAAGAGAAATTCCTTGGACCAGATGGTCTAAAATTATTTTCTCTATTAAATGAGCGCGGGATTGTAACTCTAGAAGTTGTTGACATAGGTTCGGGTTTGTTAGTCGGAATTTGACCTGT